TGAATCCCGCACGTGGCAGGTGCGTTCGACTCCAATCTTCATTGACTACGATTGTCAGTTTTCCTACCGAAGGTCGGTGGTTTTCTCCGAGCACTCCGGCATCGTCCACAAAAAAAAAAAAAAAAAAAAAAATCACCGCCACGAAATAACCAAAGGTGTTGAAAGTGGACACCAATCAATCTAAAATAGAAATATATACAGGATGCAAGCATACGATTGTCTTGTTATGATGATGGAAGTTTGATGAAATTGTCGTGTAATGCTGATGGAAGTTTAATGAGAATGTCGTGTAATGTTGATGAAAGTTTGACGAAATTGTCGTGTAATGCTGCTGGAAGTTTGATGAGATTGTCATGTAATGCTGATGGAAGTTAGATAACATTGTCGTGTAATGCTTGTGGTAGTTTGATGTGATTGTCGTGTAATGCTGATGGAAGTTTGATGAGATTGTCGTGTAATGCTGATGGAAGTTTTATGAGATTGTTTTGTAATGCCGATGGAAGTTTAATGAAATTGTCGTGTAATGCTGATGGAAGTTTGATGAAATTGTCGTGTAATGCTGTTGGAAGTTTGATGTGATTGTCGTGTAATGCTGATAGGAGTTTGTCTGGTAATGCTGATTGAAGTTTGATGAGATTGTCTGGTAATGCTGATGGAAGTTTGACGAGGTTGTCGTATAATGCTGATGGAAGTATGATGAGATTGTCGTATAATGTGATGGAAGTTTGATGAGATTGTCGTGTAATGCTGATGGAAGTTTGATGAGATTGTCGTGTAATGCTGATGGAAGTTTGATGAAATTGTCATGTAATGATAATCGAAGTTTGACGAGATTGTCGTGTAATGCTGATGGACGTTTGATGTGATTGTCGTGTAATGCTGATGGAAGTTTGATGAGATTGTCGTGTAATGCTGATTGAAGTTTTATGAGATTGTTTTGTAATGCCGATGGAAGTTTAATGAAATTGTCGTGTAATGCTGATTGAAGTTTGATGAGATTGTCGTGTAATGCTGATGGCAGTTTGATGTGATTGTCGTGTAGATTGATGAGATTGTCTGGTAATGCTGATGGAAATTTGACGATGTTGGCGTGTAATGCTGATGGCAGTTTGATGAGATTGTCGTGTAATGTGATTGAAGTTTGACGAAGTTATCGTGTAATGCTGATGGAAGTTTGACGAGGTTGTCGTGTAATGTGATGGAATTTTGATGAGATTGTCGTGTAATGCTGATGGAATTTTGATGAGATTGTCGTGTAATGCTGATGGCAGTTTGATGAGATTGTCGTGTAATGTGATTGAAGTTTGACGAGGTTGTCGTGTAATGCTGATGGAAGTTTGATGAGATTGTCGTGTAATGTGATGGAATTTTGATGAGATTGTCGTGTAATGCTGATGGAATTTTGATGAGATTGTCGTGTAATGCTGATGGAAGTTTGACAAGGTTGTCGTGTAATTCTGATTGAAGTTTGATGAGATTGTCGTGCAATGCTGATGGAAGTTTGATGTGATTGTCGTGTAATGCTGATGGAAGTTTGATGTGATTGTCGTGTAATGCTGATGGAAGTTTGATGTGATTGTCGTGTAATGCTGATGGAAGTTTGATGAGATTGACGTGTAATGCTGATGGAAGATTGATGAAATTGTCGTGTAATGCTGATGGAAGTTTAATGCGATTGTCGTGTAATGCTGATGGAAGTTTGACGAGATTGTCATGTAATGCTGATGGAAGTTTGATGAGATTGTCGTGTAATGCTGATGGAAGTTTGACGAGATTGTCGTGTAATGCTGATGGAAGTTTGATGTGATTGTCGTGTAATGCTGATGGAAGTTTGATGAGATTGTCTGGTAATGCTGATGGAAGTTTGACGATGTTGGCGTGTAATGCTGATGGCAGTTTGATGAGATTGTCGTGTAATGTGATGGAAGTTTGACGAGGTTGTCGTGTAATGCTGATGGAAGTTTGATGAGATTGTCGTGTAATGCTGATGAAATTTTGATGAGATTGTCGTGTAATGCTGATGGAAGTTTGATGTGATTGTCGTGTAATGCTGATGGAAGTTTGATGTGATTGTCGTGTAATGCTGATGGAAGTTTGATGAGATTGACGTGTAATGCTGGTGGAATTTCGATGAAATTCGTGTAAAGCTGATGGAAGTTTGATGAGATTGACGTGTAATGCTGATGGAAGTTTGATGAGATTGTCGTGTAATGCTGATAGAAGTTTGATGAGATTGTCGTGTAATGCTGTTGGAAGTTTTACAAGGTTTTTGTGTAATGCTGATGGAAGTTTGATGCGATTGACCTGTAATGCTGATGGAAGTTAGATGAGATTGTCGTGTAATGCTGATGGAAGTTTGATGAAATTATCGTGTAATGCTGATGGAAGTTTGATGAGATTGTCGTGTATTGCTGATGAAAGTTTGACGAGATTTTCGTGTAATGCTGATGGAAGTTTGATGAGATTGACATGTAATGCTGATGGAAGTTTGATGAGATTGTCGTAATGCTGATGGCAAGTTTGATGAAATTTTCGTGTAATGCTGATGGAAGTTAGATGTGGTTGTCGTGTAATGCTGATGGAAGTTTGATGTGATTGTCAAGTAATGCTGATGGAAGTTTGATGAGATTGTCATGTTATGCTGATGGAAGTTTGATGAGATTGACGTGTAATGCTGGTGGAAGTTTGATGAGGTTGTCATGTAATGCTGGTGGAAGTTTGATGAGAAGTAGATGTGATAGCTGGGACATTCCCAGGTGATAGTAAACACGATGAACATGATACTTCAAGTGTGCGTTGAAAGTTGTGTATGAAATATAATTACGTTGACTGTTTATTTAGGGTACTAGGAAACAAGTTTAAGTCTACAAGGGCCATTTTAACATCATCTTAAATAGTATTCAATTAATCACAGTGAACCTAAACATGACTTACTAATGACCTGTTTAGTTGTTTCATATCCGTTGAGATCGCATGGTCGTTTCGTTTGAAAAAAAAACCACAAAATTAAATAGATGATGCAAGTGTATTTGAGGTTGCTTGTTGTAAAATTTACATGCGATTACCCTTGTAATTTTTTTTGAAGATGTAAAATGTTTGAAATATAAATGTATGTGGGATTTTGAAGGGAAAAATAATCTGATGTCTTTGACCGTGCTGTGTCTCACTGACTTTCTATGTCGGTTTTATTTTCACTGTATATGTAAACATATAAAAACTAATTTACTAATAGTTCTCAGTAATAACAATTAGATTTTATTTTTAAATATAATCTGTGGTGACATGGTCAATTGCTTGTTCAAATATCCGGAGATAATTCGGTCCAAAATGATTTCCCCATATATCAATTTATCGCCGATTAACTTAGTCAAGTATTAATCATCAAAATGTAAAGATTGGTTATGAGAATTTTAACTAATTACAAATGTATCCAACGGCTATTGTTTACTATTTGTCAACGAGTTGATTTTTGTAAACACTACTGATAAGGTTGTTGATCTTACCCTTATGGTTATTGGCTGCTTTACGTTTGATCGGGAGATGGAAAATAAACCCACTGACCCATCACAGAAACATTGAGGAGCACAAGAAACATCATAGGACAACACTGAGCACAAGAAACATCACAGGACAACACTGAGGAGGACAAGAAATATCACAGGACAACACTGAGAACAAATCTTCACGAAGCGTTGGTAATTGCCTCAGATGTTTATGTTATGCACTTTCGGGAGAATATAAAAATAAGAAGCACGGTCTAATTGACATAGACCGTCAACAATTTCTGCCCCCAAATGATAACCAGACCACAGGTAAAATCGCTTCTACCAAGTAAGAACCAGTACAGATTCCTACGGCCAATCTTAGTTTTAAAAGTAAAATATTGCGAACGTTTTTAAATGTAAATAGTCAAGAGAGAACGTTCTGCGTTGCCCAACACTACGCAAAGTTTTCGCGCGAAATCAATCACATACATGGCCATTTGTAATAAAACAAAATCTACGTTCACCATAAAAACATGGTTGATCAAAATTTAGTTTTGCGTGCTACATGTGGTAAAGAACACATCTATGACCACCATTCTAGAGAACAATGGAGGAATGCAGTTTTTTTAGTTGGAGTTATATAGTGTCTAGTGAGAATGCAGTGTTGTTTATATTCTGGCTATTTGCATTAAGTCTGTATTGTCTTTACTCAGTAATGTTTTGTCGAAGATATTTTTCTTTTCTTGGTGATCCTTTCAACAATAAAACAATGTACCTGATTTAACTTTCAACTGATTATAATAACTACTTAAACCGTTTATTTTTGGGAAACACTATTAATGAAGATGCTTACTGGAAGTGACTTTGACTAAACCGGAAGTTGTTAATTATTTCCCCTTTTGCATGAAAAAAAGTCAAGAGAATATGGATTTATGGCATCAGTGTGAGATAAGCTATCTTCTGACATTGGAACTAATCATTTTCACTCAAATTTTCTGATTAAAATTTGGGTGGAAATTATAAGACCTTTAATTGTTTCTTGCACAATTTTTTTTTTCATAAATGGTGTCTGTCTCTTGAAAAGCCATTTCTGGTTTTCATCCTAAAATCTATTTGGCTAAAAAGTGGGATGTACAGCAACGCAACAACACAAAAAGGGACTTTTAAGCGCTTACAGTAACAAAACATTTGAGTACGATTATCGTAGTCAGACTCCGCAATCAACAAATCAAAATACTGGATTTGGTGTTTCGAGCACACATTTTTTACTCCAAGTATTTGGACAATTCAAAGTTTTATGACTGAAAGGCCTGATCTACCATCTATACCAAATTAAGTTCCCAAAAAGACAAATAACGTCAGATATAACAAAACACTGACGAAGTTCCTGTTTAAAGACAGGTACATTAACAGGTGGGATTCAATTAGTTTTTGAGATCATGACTGCAGTTTCGTCTGCTTTTAATCTCGACCAGTGGATTAATAAAATGTTTTTCAATGAATAAAAACATGAGAAAGCATATAACTGTTAAATATAATATAGATATAATAGTTAAGAAAAACACAGGTACAAAAAAACAAAAATTATAAGTACATGTAATACAATTTATATTAGCAGTTTCATCAAATTGACTTGAAAGTACATTTTCATGACAAAAACCCAAGTTTCTATGACAATGAACATTATCATATTTGATGAGTCGATCATGACAAATTTATCTAAAGGTTGTTTTAAATAGTGGAAAATTTCGTTTTTCTTCTCATAAACTATTGTTAATGTCCCTATCTTATGATTTTTTTAAGTGACTGCTGTACTATCATCAGGAAAAAAATTGTATGGCATTTGTTTAGTGTTAAGAAAGATATATGCAGAGGACAGCAAAAGTAACTACAACAACATTTGACAAGATCGTAGAGGTAGCATCGGTAGTTGCCATGTCAATAATAGTTTCCGACGGAATCTTTACCCAGAAAGTATCGGTCTTTTCTACAACTGTCGCGCTGAAATCAGAAAAAAAAACAATTACATATGCATATTTACATCAGCTTATGTAACATTTTTTCGGTACATTCTCTTTTTAGAATCTATACTAAAATGTTTAATTTGCTTTTAATCGTTTATTGGAAAAAAATAGTAAAATGATAGTAAAAGTAGAAGTTAAAACAGAATTTTCGCGAAAAAACCTGAATCACTTGAATTGTACCCTTTTGAAGTTCTTTCTCGTGATAGAAACGGTCGCGAGAAACGGTCACAACTATACTTAGCTACTAAGAGTAGAAAACATGCAACCAACATCATGTTTTGTTTTTAATAATAGATATTAAGTCAGGATCCACGTAAGCAGTTGGCTTTGTTTATTGTTTACGTTTCTGCATGCTTTAAATACGATGCATATCTTCGAAAATGTTTGTAAATGTATTCACTTGTACGGACACGGGATTGATTGTAAAATGTATTCACTTGTACTGACACGGGGTGGTTGTAAAATGTATTCACGTGTACTGACGCGGGGTGATTTAGAGCCAAATTATTTATTGTTGTAAACTGTATGTTGACCTTTAAAATAGTTATCTCCGGTTTTAATGTGTTGATAGTCTTCTGTCTCATTGTGGTAACTCCCACATTTTATTATTAGAAGTGGGACATTTAAAGACGTATCGTATCCCTATCTGATACGTTGACGTATCTGAACGTATCTATGGGTTAATAGTATATATTTATTTCCCGTGCCGGAGGGAGATATGAAGATTTGTTCACCCAAGAATATTCATATTTCACGAGGGCTCTGCCCGAGGGAAATATGATTTTTCGAGGGTGAGCAAATCTTCATATCTCCCGAGGCAAAGGGAAATGAATTTTTTATTCCACTGCCTATGCTTTGTTTACTATCAATACATTAAGTATTATTTTGCATACATTTTTTTTCTTATCCGCTTGTTTTTGTAAGTCAAACTAAACACGACATACTCATTGATAAACAGAAAGAATCAAAATTTAATTATAAGTCTTTTTGTTTATCGTCTGAAATAAATTTGAACATGATAATGGAAGTTCAACACGTTATGTACATTAACCGCGCGTAACGTTGCACGAAGTAATCCCGACATTTCAGAGGGGAATATGATCCTCAGAATGGAATATGAAGATTTGTTCAATGACACGTGGGATAGTCTCAACCAATCAAATATTGATTAAACTATCAATATGTTTAAACAGTGGAATAATACATGTATATGGTTTTTTTTCTATGTTAGATATCTTTCGGTCATCAATACTCTCTTTTTATGACATGATAGTTTTTAATTTATGTATAATCGTTTATATCTAAACAATCGATATTTAAACCATCATCATTTTTCAGGCGTGAATTTAAATAATAATGCAGATGTAGTTAATGATGGAGTAAAAATCGTGGTAAAAATATCGAGAATAGGGAAAAGAATGGGAAAATAGGGAAAGGGTGTTGCAATTTTTTCAGTCTCTTTTATTTTAAATATTTGGAAAAAAGTATTGCCTGCCAATTTACAAATTCATTATTATTGGTATTAGTAATCAATCCGACACAATCCTCATTTATAAGCAATAAAGTACGTGTATAAATATTGTTCACGTTAAGGTTTATGACCCCTTTCGTAGTCCTGTGTAGTACGAAATGTTCAAGGTGAAATAATATCAAAACAGCAAAGACAACAAATAAAAGAGATCTGCCATTTCGTACATACACCAAAAAGAAACTTCATTCAAAGAAATAGTATCTATGTTTTATTGCATTTTATAGAAAATAGGGATTTTGTGGCAAATAAAGCAGAAAATCTACAGCCTTCAATACAGAGATTTTCGTTATATAATTATAAATATAGATTACTCACTTGTTTGTCCATGATGTGCTAGCGTTTAATTTTGACAAAAAGTCATAAACGACCTTTACATTCCAAAAATCCTCGTGCTGAGTCACTAAAGTCGAGCGCACACTAGAAGGTGTACTTGAATTGGTCCATATTTATATTTGTTTTAACCAATATCTTTATTGATAAACTTGTTTAAAGAAAATCATTGCTAGTGTGAGCCAAAATTTGTTCCTGTGAAAAAAGTTCCAGTGGAACTAATATCACAGGAAATATGTTCTGGGAGAACTTTTTTCACAGATGATTTCTATATAAATTGTTCCATCTCTATAAAATAAGTTCCACACTTTACCTGGTGAAATAAGTACCGGGTTAGTGAAATTTGTTCCTTACCTGGTGAAATAAGTTCCGGGTTTATGAGATTTGTTTCTTATCTGGTGAAATAAGTTCTGGGTTTGTGAGATTTGTTCCTCACCTGGTGAAATAAGTTCCTTGTCTGTGAAATATGTTCCACTGGTTAAACAAGTTATCTTATATACTGAGCATTTGTCATCAGTGAGTTTAAAGTTATCATTCAAGTGCATTATCAAAATAAGTATTATATCAATAATAAAAAAGCAAAAAGTGTAAATCATCCAATTCGGATCCTGTGGAGTATAGCAAATGTTTAGTTATATACTCCGTAAAAAATATCAAAATGACACTTTTCAGCCAGAAAAGAGTAGAATAAGAAAAATCAATTATTCAGAAAAAAAGTAAGGTTAAAGTGAACATATGAACTTATTTGAAAAGGACAAAGTGACTGATCAGTCAAAAGACATTTAGAAACAAAAGACACACTCTTTTGAAACTGTGCTATGACCTAAGTACATGTATGACTAGAACACGGGGCCATGACAGTTAACAAAAACCAAGGAGGAATACCACATAAAACATAAATACAAGTTATGATACATTACCATCGCTTTTATTTCTTATCTTCATCCTTTAGTTACAGTCATGCCTTCAATAGCAAATGTATTTCATGCAAGCACAATCAGTACAGCACTCAGCTTGCATTATAAATTAAATGTAACAAGAAAATGTTTCGCTTGCAAAGGTACTCATTTTCTGTGAAAATAGGTTTGAGCGGAACTTATTCATTGATTTCTATGAAATATGTAAACGTTCGTTTAAAACAAATATCATAGGAACCTATTTAACTTTTTAAAACTCTTAATATTAATTGGAACAAAATTCATGGAACTTATTTCACATTTGGTCATAACAAAAGTTCAAGAACAAATTTTACAGTGCTGGAACATATTTTCTGTGATATAAAGTCCAGTGGAACATATTTCCTATGAAATTTGTTCCGGCGGAACAAATGTCACGCCGGAACAAATTTTTTGTTACACTAGCACTACTTGTAATAATCCTCTATATAACACGCACCGAATGATCAAATATTAGAGGACAAGGGGAAAGGCTGTGGATTTTCTATAAAATGTCCATGTTTAGCATTGAAACAACAAAAGGGTACACAATCCTTAACTTTTTGAACTTCACGCCTGGGTAGTTCTAATGATTCAAATATCAATATAGTATATAGATTGACACGAAAATCACGTGATTGTTAAATGTGTGTAAATGCTAGCTTCTGAAGTCGTCCATGTAATGTTTTCATAATTGTATTATAGTTACTGTAAATATATATCGTAGATACATCACTTTAAGGGCAATACATGTTATTAAGTCAGGATTTTGACATACAAGAAGAAGCAAGTATGTAAACATAATACATGCAGATACGTCAACGTATTAGATACGGATACGATACGCCTTTAAATGTCCCACTTCTATTTACATTGACAGTTATATGCTTACAAAATTGTTATATTCCCTCGAGATTTGGCTGGAGCGGTAAATTTAAAAGTAACACTGTCTTTTTCCGAAGCTTCTGTGTGTGTTATGGCATCATTCTGTAAATATAAATCTTAAATGTGGTAGTTTAATATCCTTTGAGTTTTCGTTCGGAACAGAAAATATGTATTAGATACAATACAAAGGTAACAAAGAAACAGGCCGGTAACAACCGTTGCCGGATTGATTTTCTGCACGAGTAGTCAGGTCAAGGTCCGAGGCGATAGCCGAGGACCTTGACCTGACTACAAGTGCAGACAAACTATACGGCAGGTTATTTCCGGCCTGTTTTTTGTTACCTTTGTTTTGTATCTGACTTGTACGACGTTTCAAGAAGGAAGAAGTACATTTCGCATTTAGAAGAGGTAGCAAAACTAAAGATATTAGAAACTTAAATGGCCATATACCAGTTAATGTAAGTTACAGTTTAAACTCAATTTTTTTTCTCACTTCCCTTCAGCCGAGAGTTTTTTCTCAAAAAAAATCAAAAATCTAATAACTTTATAAAAAGAACCATTTCAAGTTAAAGGTGAATGTTATACACATTTGAGACTTTTTGAAATGCAACTTCGCAAGTAAATAATGTATAAAAAAGATTTCAGAGGTAAGCAAGCTACCATTTGATTTTATTGGGGTGGTTAAAATAAATTTAAAATAAACTGGCTTCATCCTTTTTTTGTTGAAAAAATGCAGGATGTGCCATGTCCATGTCTTGTTATTATATATATATATAGGCATATGTTTTGGATTAAAAAAAAAAGGTTCATGCTTATAGGTTTTTATATGTCTCTGATAGTGTTGATCAGGATTAAACACGTGTCACTATATGATCCAATCAGAGCTTACCCTCCAAAATTGATTACATTAGTTGAATGATTTTCTTTACGATTTGCTGCATATTTGAACATGTATTACACGGACACTTTTTATTTATAGGATCAATCGTGCATTGGTGAGTTGATAGGGACTTTATCTTTTGATTAGATTTGATTTTTATATATATATTTCCTGTCTTTTTATTGAAATATAAACGTTGGTACCAGCATTTCTTTCAGCATTGTCCAGAATACTATTCATGTCCATATATTGAAAAAAATACATTTACGGACCGACCATTTAGCTTTAAAAGGGGGTATGTTCTTTTCTGAGTAAGAAAATTATTTAGTTTTTCAACGCTATCGCCCAAATATCTTTTTTTTCGAAATCAGCACTATTATATACGGTATTCGGAAAATCAGGAGCCAGAACATTATTTTCAGTGTCATCTGCTTGACCATTATATATTTTTTCTCATAAAATTGGGGATCAAAATGTGTTTTTTAGGAAAAAACCATAACCGGCCTTTTGAAGTTAAATGGTCAACCCCTTAGTGTACTAATATGAATAGTTACTGGAATTGTTTGAAAAAAAATATAGTTATTGATGCTAACGTAAATATTTTTAATTAAAAAGACAGGAAATATGTCGGTGAAACAAAAAGTTCAAATCTAATTGAAATTTAAAGTGCCCATGAACTCACTGATCATGCACGAGTGATTCTATTCATAAAAAGTGTCCGTGTAAAAACTAAAAAGTGTCCGTGTATCATCTAAAAAGTGTCCGTGTAACACCCGTTAATGTACTGTTTTTCTATAGCTCTGCTGGGGGCAAAGTCGTACAAGGACCGATACAATAAATCAAATTAGGGAAAGAATATAGAACTGCCATGGCAGTATTGGCTATTTAAATTCCAGTCATATACGTTTCTTGGGGGAGCATGAGCATACAGGAGTATTTCATCTTGGTTATACATTGTATAGACGCAATAATTACAAGCCTCATTTGAACATTTCTTGTAATTTTGATATGTGAGTGGAAATGTCGTTGATATTTAAATATCACAAGTTTAACATGACACGCCAATTCACAAGTATACGAAAGAGATTTTTTTCCCATTTTGATATGTATAATTTATCGTTACTTTAAAGGCATGTACTAAAATTTTTCTGTTCTAGAGGTACTTTTTAATTTATGATTCGTTGCTATTTAATTGATAATACATTTTAAATAACCGAAGCCATTTACGCCATCTGTGTAACATGCATAACAGCATGTCCCCTCATTGCAGAAATGACAGTTGAAATGCAATAATATCATCATAAACATGAAGAAATCGAACTTAAACAGCAAATCGATCAAAGCAGGTTAAGAGTCAACATCAACACGACTACCAGGTTTGAAAAAGGTATGTGACGGGATTGCTTCCCTTAGAAATTTAGTAGATACTTAGTCAGCCGTAAGCGGTTGAGCTAAGGAAGTACTTCTTTAGCTCAGTCGGTTAACGCGCTGCCTTGTAACACAGAGGTCCCGGGTTCGAGTCCCGGTGGAGACATGCAATTTTGCAAGTAGAATCATGCTCTCCAGTTACAGGTATAAGAAATTGGTTCATTCGGGATACGAATCAATATCAATGTAAGCATAAGTAGATGTGGTCTGGTTGCCAATAACGCAACTATTCACCAAAATTATAGATCACCGTACGGCTGTCAACAATGAGCAAAACTTCACTTACTGTATTATTACATTGCAGAAATTTAGAGTTCTGTATCAGTTTGAAGCCTGGAATTTTTGTTCCATCCTGGTTTCTTGCTTGAATTAAATATCCTTTGAACTGGTTTGTTGAGGTATTCGATAAGGTTACTAAGAATAAAAATGAGCTGTGATGAAATAAAAAAAAAAAACAAAAAAAAACAAAACTTTTTGATTTTCACCATGTGAGTGGAATAATTTCAGGGTAAATTTTTTATCTACCGCTATTTTCGAAAGGCGATGAAAATTGCCATCTTTTCCATTAGTTAAATACATATATATATAAACTTTGTCTATTTCATTATTCATTGATGTTACTGGTGGACTATCTGTGATATGTATATGTTACAGTGAATTTGTATAATCAGGGATTATGTAGAATCCCAGATTTTTTCAGGAATTTTCCATAATCACGAAAATCATTAGTGATTATATATAATCCCTGAAAATGACAAGTGATTTTACATAATCACTGAACATTTAAATTGAAACTAATAATACCAACATAAATGTACAGATCATGTAACAAGGGATGAAAGGTAACGAACAAGGAGTTCGAACTAAGCAAATAAATACAACGAAATGTCCAGAAACACAAACAGAACACATGGTTGACAGATTGAATACAATTTTGGAGGAGACTGTGATACTGATTCCACATGTTGATCTTGGCCAAAAACATAATGGCCATCGTTCATAAAAGGGCTGAAAAGGATAATGGCTGACTCGGATGTGACTACACCTAAAGATAATGTTATTGACCAATTTAAACAAAATTGGCATTCAATCTTAATAGAATCGCCAAAAGCTATTAATTATCGTCTATTCATAGACAATGCTGAAAGGGAAAACCTTTTCAAGATCCTAGATGATAAAAATTTTATAACTTTTTGTAGATTTAGGATCCTCAGTCATAAACTCCCTATCGAAACTGGGAGGTGGAATAAAGATATATATATACACGATCAATGATTCTACATGTTCACTGTAACATTTACATTACTTCATATTTCCAGTGTCGTATAACTATATTCTGTGTGTACAAGCACCGACAAAACTGAGATATATTGTGGCATGGTTTTCGACTTTTTTTAATTGGGGTATATTGGTGTCATTTAGATATTCCTACACTCCAAATTATTCGACGCTCATTAATTGACACTTTAAAAATAGTTAGAGATATGTTAAATTGATGTTTTTTAAAATTATAGTTTAACATGAAAAATTAATAATTTTTGATGATCACATACCTGCTATTACATCACTTCCTCCGTAGCTAGTCTTATCTAGAGTTATTTGAAATGGGGCTGGACTGTTCTGAGCGGTAACCGAATGTCCTGGTTCCATAGTATCACATGCTCCTGGTAATGCTCCTTCAGGTTTTCCATGTACAGAGTAGCAACATGACAACAAAAAGAGTAGGTGTAGACTTAATATTTCCATTGTGCTACAACACTGTTAATATATGTTCTGTAAAAGAAAGTGTTTTTAAATGAATGCTTTATTGCAGTTCAGTATAAGTAGTATAGAAGGAAATAGTAAGGACCTATTAAAAGAGGGGCAAAAGATACGAGAGGGACATTCAAACTCATAAGTCGAAAATAAACTTACAACGTCATGGCTTGAAAAGAAAAAGGACCAACAGACAAACAATAGTACACAAAACTCGATAGGTCACATTCGTGAAAAGGGGACGGGATTGTAGTTACGACATTAGGAACACATCCACTATCATCTGTGAAACGGTTATTCCATAACGGTCAACCAACTCGTCATGGCGTCTGTAAAATTTTCGAAGGAATGATTTCAACTTCACCATTTGGAACTCTTTGTTAAATAGCTTCGGTGTGAGCAGTAACCCTCCATCAAGGAAATCATGATAGGAAATGCAAGCCCGGGAATATCGTATCAATTGGGGGATATATACTCCGTATGCAGGCGCTGCTGGAATGTTGCTACATAGAAATAGAAAGTTCACAATTAGGAAGCCGAAATCATCTCTTTTGTCGTAAAGTTTTGTTTGATTCAGAGTGATTTTTTACAAAGTAGGATTGATTCCTCCATAAGACAAGATGCTTGTATCTGCGTTGGCAATTCTTTTTTATGAAACAAATTTGGAATGGGAAATACTTGCGTAAAGTGTAGACAAGTCAAATGTTTTAACACTATTGCAAGATAAAAGATTCTTAGATTGTATGTACTCTAAAAGTTCTTTGGAATTTGTTAATATCCACATCTGATTAGGGACTTTCCGGTTTGAATTCGGTATTTGTTTTGTTTAATTTTTTTATATCATCTACATATACATTTCATTTCTCCAAATGCACTTTTTCAATTGTTTTTGATTTTTAATTATTGTTATCTATTTTTCGTCATTTTTTCATCATATACATTCGGTATAGTATATTTATTGGAAAGGGTTGAGGATATTAAAAGATCACTAGCAGTTTAAGATATTTTATAAAAATATATAAGAATATTTCCTGGGATATGGTAAAATCTCTGATAACTAATAGGCTGTTTAAACAATTAAAATGACCAGACGCTCGTTTTGTCTTTAAAAAACTCATCAGTGGCGCTAAAATCAAAACAGTTGAAATTCCAAATCAGATATAAAGTTAAAAAATCATCTAAATTAAAAATTCCGAAACGTTGTGCCAAAATACGGTTAAGGCAATCTATGACTGGGAGTAGAAACCTTTGTGCTTCATATAATGCAACATGTTATAGAAATTTGATTAACAGAAACTGAACGTATAAATGTTATTTCATGTCGACATAAAAGTGGTGGTGACACCCCCGAGAACGAAACGTCAACCAGCAGTGGCATCGACCCAGTGGTTGTAAAAATTTATCAGTACGGACAACTGTGATAAAAATAGTAGTCATTAGGTCGCTTTTCATTTTCCCGCATCGGGTAAGCCCAAATTGTTGAACTCCATAGGACAAACACCGGAACGTAACAACAATATATTAAGAATGTTCTCATTGTTAACAGTCACAGTATTGTTTTTCCTTAAAATTAATTTATCCCGATGATTCACATAACTGTTGACTGTATGTGGTTAAGACGTCAAAACATGTTGTCGAGAATTAATTCTGGGGGACATTTTGAACATCTTTTCTACAGAAGACTTAGATGGCTGAGATGAAAAAACTCGTTGCAATATTTGGGTAAATACATATGTTACAGTCAATTTGTAAAATTTGTGATTTTGTAAAATCCCTAAAATTTCAGGAGTTTTGTATAACCACTGAATTGATGAGGGAATTCTTAAAATTACAGATTTTGTTACGGATCTTACCAAATCATTGATATAATTGAGAACATTTTTACATTTCCACTGGTTTAATTAAGGGAATTTAAAAGGAATAGGTACTTTTTATTAACACTCTGGATGCTCGTTATCTTGACTTTATATCCAAAGACTTGATCAACACTATCTTTCTGGAAATGAGGCAAACCTTATTCAAGTGGAATAAACAAATCTGAATACTAGTAAGATGTGCACGGTCTTTTAAGTCTGGAACTGCAAAGGTTTAGTAATTTCTAACAACAGAAATTCAATGATAATTAAAAACCATATGTTCATAGAACAATTGAAGGTCTTTTCACATGATACCAGACTAAATGTTTTGATGAGAAAGATACAAGAGATAAAAACAAATACTAAAAGTATGAGAAAACAGGAAGCCTAAACACCGATTCCAAAAATATATGGTTCCAGTTCCGATGTCATATGAAAGGATATTTTATACTGATATAAGGTTGCTCGGAATTTTTTTTGTGAAATAAAGGAGATAATCTACCACCTTAAGTTTACAGAAAGTCACTACTGGTGTTAAAAGATATCTCACTTTTCACTGATTTCAAAAATATATAGTTTTTTTTTATGTTTTCCTTAAATAAAGGAGATAATTTGCAACATCCGGTTTAGAAAATGTCACTTCTGGTCTCAAATAAAAATCTTTCTTTGTACTGATTCCAAACATATGGTTTATATGTATTTACACTTGAAATAAGGGAGATAATTAGCCACTTCCGGTTTCCGAGAGGGGACTGACGGGGTCATTTTAAGGTTACTGATTACCTATTCTAAAAATATATGGTTTTTAAATACTTTTCCCTTAAAACTTGCTACTTTTGGTCTGCACAAAATCACTTCCGGTTGATGTTTTAATATTTTTAAGGTCATGTATCTTTGCAAATTATCCGTTGTCTTTATCATGTACCAGAATGAATTAATAGTCAATTTACCTTAAATCTAAATATTTCAGGGGCAATAACTCCTATAAGATGTCAGCAAGGGCAAAATTTAGAAAATGACTTTAAACTTTGACTTTAACCTCATTTTTCTAGTTATGACCCAAGGATCTCAAATAAAGAAGATTCGTTGGTCTTTACCGTGTACGGTTTATTAGTTACATCCGATGTGTTTCCGATTTAGGGTATGACGTCATAGTTTTTTGTTTGATGTCTCAATTCATCATTTCAAGCCTAATTAATTTTCTCCATCTATACTACTCGTATGGCAAGATTACTTCATAAATTAATAACTCTGTGTATCTCTGTTTTGGATTTTAGTAAATCCATACAAATAACAAAACATATAATAGCTTGAAATAAATGTGAAACACACTTCTATTTTCATTAACTGTAGTATATATATACACAAAAAATACCTGCAGTGCAGTGATGTGTAAAATAAACCCTACATCTAAATAGACATTCTTTAAATGTTAAAAGATGACATTTCAGACATAGGATACTATGTCAGTAAACAATTTACAGAGGTACCAGAAGGTGTATTAATGCATGCATACAGTGTTTGATATAACTTGAATTAAAACTAAATAGTAATTGTAGTTATAATGTTTGTTACAAATACTGATGAGCAATATATGCACAACCCCTTAAATCGAAAAGGTAAAGATACACTAATTGACAAAAATTGGTACCGTTAAGATTCGTTAATGTTATTGTAGTTAAAAATGATAATCAGGTTCTCGATTGAGGATTATTTAGCATTCGGTGGTAAAGGTTGAATGCATACTCAAGTCGTATATAACTTAGTGCCATACTAATATACTCAGCTTGTCCTAGACCAACACGCGAAACAATATTTTTGACATTCAAGCTTACAAGTTAACAGTTCGAAAAAGACATACCAGCCATCATTGGCGCTGTATTATTTCTCCGATCCGGTGTGCTTGGCGAAGAAGAAGGTAGTAAAATCGAATTTTATAGTCTTTGGCTTAACCGGCCTGTTAAACGTACCCCCGCTCAGGGTTTATATTGTAAGACTGGAAATTCGATTTAAATCCAGTTGAAATCTTTTCTACATTAATGAGGATATGCAATTTTCATCTAATAGAGCAAACAGCGATGTGAGTTTTTATTAAACATTTTCCCCGTGAAAAAAATATAGGCTAATTTAGGGGGAAGGGGGGGGGGGGGGGGTCAGGGGCCCGCCCTCCCCTTTTGATGGAAAAATTTGGTTGATTATTTAGGAAATCACTGAAGCATGACTGGAGCGGGCCCCTCTTATGACAGTCATTTGGCCTCCTTATGAAAATTTCTTGATCCGCCGCTGCTAATATTTAAGTTAAAGGTCTTACCTTGCTTTTGGTCTTCACTAGAATAACACAAAAAGAATAGAAAATATGTGAGTGGTTGCGTGTATTATGACTATGTAATATATACTTCTTCCGCATATTTAAGAAATTGTATAGAACTGTGTTACTTTTGCAGCATTGTAATTTAATCATCCGTCGTTTATTTTAGATATCATCCTCCACAATAGACTATTTTCATATTACCGACTTTTCGACATGTTACCTACTCTGTGGTTAGACATTCTAATACTCAGTCAAGTGAGAGTATTAAAAAAAAAGCAGCTAACAATCGGTGCAATTTTTGGAAAAAAAAAATGTTTTCGGATGATTTTGTCGTGTATATATAGAAAACATAAAACAGATAATTTTATTGGACAGCAACATTCCTAGGGAACTGATAAAGAGGTACCGTATATGTAGGGTCAATTTCCTATATAAAAGTATTTCACTGGAAATTCGATTTAAATCCATTTGAAATCTTCTCTACATTAATAAGGATATGCAATTTTCATCTAATAGAGCAAACAGCGATGTGAGTTTTTATTAAACATTTTCCACGTGAAAAAATTAGAGGCGACTTTAGGGGGAGGGGAGGGGGGAGGGGGCAGGGGGCCCGCCCTACCCTAGCGCCTTTTGTGGGAAAAATTTGGTTGATTATTTAGGGAATCACTGAAGTATGACTGGAGCGGGCCCCCTCTTATGACAGTCATTTGGCCTCCTTATGAAAATTTCTGGATCCGCCGCTGCTTATATTTAAGTTAAAGGTCTTACCTTGCTTTTGGTCTTCACTAGAATAACACAAAAAGAATAGAAAATATGTGAGTGGTTGCGTGTATTTTGACTATGTAATATATATTTCTTCCGCATATTTAAGAAATTGTAAAGAACTGTGTTACTTATGAAACATTGTAATTTAATCATCCGTCGTTTATTTTAATATCATCCTCCACAATAGACTATTTTCATATTACCGACTTTGACTCCGATATAATTTTTCGACATGTTACCTACTCTGTGGTTAGACATTCTAATACTTAGTCAAGTGAGAGTATTAAAAAAAAAGCAGCTAACAATCGGTGCAATTTTTGGAGAAAAAAAATAAACGTTTTCGGATGATTTTGTCGTGTATATATAGAAAACATAAAACAAATAATTTTATTGGACAGCAACATTCCTAGGGAACTGATAAAGAGGTACCGTATATGTAGGGTCAATTTCCTATAAAATTATTTCACAAGAAGGCCACGTCTTTAAAGTTATCGAATCTTTAATTAAACTATCACAGTTAACCAGCGTCATATATTTACTTTGAGCGTTTAACAATAGTATGTCGTGTTGCTGAATGCTTAACCAAATAGAAGACTCAAAACTACAAATCTGATAGATATTTTCAATTTCGGAAGTTTAAAAAGAAAAGAATAAGGACTCAATTATATCATATTACCAGGATTTCCTCTTCAAATTTTAATGAACCCCAAAGTGTGACTTGTTTATAGAAATAGAATGTATGTTTAATCCTGCACCTCTCCCAATCCGGCAGTAAAACTCTTACCTTAGTTGGGCGTCCGTTCTGCTTTGCGTGATGTATAAATACGCAACAACGTCCGAACGGAATGATCACGTTAAATCCGATGCCTCATGTGGGACAAGTGCCACGATATCTGCAAGTCTCAGAGGGGTCCGTAGGTGGCCTGTGGCAAGTCAATGTTTCTGTCTCTATCTAACATACTCTCATTTCCAGTGGCAGTCCCCATTTACCGTCCATCCTATTGCTCGGCCGGCCTATCATGCAGAACCTACCCATTGTCTTTATTGTTTATATTCTCCTCGTTCTGAATATTTATGAAATTATTGTCATTGACACAGACAATCGTTCATCTAATGCAGGGTAAAACGCCAAAAACGTTTGTAAAACTTTGATAGTGTGAACGGATAACAAGATCACTGATTTTTTTTTTAAAAGAATACAAATATTTTATGACAACTCAAAATGTTCTAAATTTCCTTGAATATAAAGTTTTAAACTTTTGAATGGATAAATATAACTTTGTAATATTTTATTCTGTGATGCGAATGTTATTTTTACCATGTTTTGGAGAGCATTCATATACATATATCAATCTAATTAAAATTAAATCTCCGCACTCGCTCATTTTTTTTATGCTTGGTCGCTGCCAACAAAATATGAGCGAGTGCGGAGATTTAATTTTAATAAGATTGATACATATATCCTTTTAAATTTCGAATGAGCAAATATCGTACCATCATACTCCAGGGGTTCAATTACTCTGTTGTGACAAAATCCAAACAGAGATTGAAATTTGATGAGACTATAAACGTGGCCTTTAGTTGTTGTCGAAGAAATTATTTTACCTCACATAAGCAATCTTTTTTTCCTCTCTCTATGTATCTGTATAATTGTTGTTTTTATGTATTTTGATATATCCTTATTTATCGTCACCTGCAGTAGTTAGTCTTAGTGTTATCCTAAGTATAAATCTAATTTCTGCAAATATATAATAGTTACCGGTAAACTATGACATCTCTCGTGTTTTTGACTATTTGTATATGTTGTGGGCTTTGGTCTGTCTTTTTGTCATTATTTCATATAGCATTCGTGTAAACTGTTCTATAACGACTGTCAGTTGTACTCAAACTGAAATTTTATTTGACACCATTGATATTTTTTCCCAATGACAACATGCTATCGATACATTTTAGTTACGCACCAAAGTAAAATATCAGATAAAGACGAACTCCTAATAAATTTTTAACCACAACATATTCCAACGTCATCGTCATGAATATGCATGAATTACAAACATATACATATAACATTGGATGTTCAGCGAACAACAAAGATTTATCGATGTTTCCTGTAAATAAGGTAAGTAATTAGTCGAAGCACAACAGGTCTAAAATTTTGAGACACAGTACATAGGAAAAATTGCACCATATGTTTTCATATGTTTAACATATGTTTTTCATATGTTTGAAAACATATGTAAACATATGTTTAGGCCCGACATGAAAACATATGTTTTCGAACATATGAAAAACATATGGAAAACATATGAAAAACATATGTTTTTAAAATCATATGAAAAACATATGTTTTTCATACATGTAAACATATGAAAAACATATGTTTTTCATATGTTTTTTACAAACATATGTTTTTCATATGTTTTCATACCTGGCCTAAACATATGTTTTCATATGTTTGTCCTAAACATATGTTTTCATATGTTTGGCCCAAACATATGTTTTCATATGATTTTATCTTGGTCCTAAATATATATTTTTTATATGTTTTTAATTGCTCAAATGGATTTATTTTCTAATAGATTCTAAACATGGTTCGTATATATATGTATTTTTTTTTGCGATAGGTTTTTAAGGGTAACGTTTTGATGTTTTTTAATATGTTTTTCTTTAATTTGTTATCTTTTTTTTCTGTCAAGAACTCATTTTGAGTGTAAATACTTCATTGTGATGAGTTGTTGCTTTAAAAAGTAAAAAACCCAAAATACCAAACTCCACAGAAAATACATGGCAAAATCAAAAGCTCAAACAAATAAAAAACAATAAGTGCTCCATAATTTTTATATAAAGTAGTTTTTTTTTTTATTAAGTTGTTGTCTCTTCTATTTTCATATTTTTGTCTCTTTGACATACATTGTTCCACATTTCTATTATTATTTTCTATTTTCAGTTGTTTGTCTCTTCAACATACACCATTTATAGTATTGTCTGTATTCTATTTTCATATGTTAGTCTCTTTGACATACTCCATTTCTATTGTCTAAATTATATTTTCATATGTTTGTCTCTTTGACATACTCCATTTCTATTGTCTATAGTATATTTTCATATGTGTGGCTCTTTGACAAACCCCATTTCTATTGTCTATTATATTTTCATATGTGTGTCTCTTTGACATACCCCATTTCTGTTGTCTATATTATATTTTCATATGTTTGTCTCTTTGACATACCCCATTTCTATTGTCTATATTCTATTTTCATATGTGTGTCTCTTTGACATACATCATTTCTATTGTCTATATTCTATTTTCATGTGTGTCTCTTTGACATACATGTGTACTGGCATTTCTATTGTCTATATTCTATTTTCATGTGTGTCTCTTTGACATGCATGTGTACTGGCATTTCTATTGTCTATATTATATTTTCCTATGATGTATGTGATATTTCTATTGCTATATCACCATACACAGATGTGTAATTGTCTACACTGCTTGCTATTACTGGTGCATGTGTATGCAGCTGCTTTTTGGAAATATCCTGTATGATTAAGAAAGACAACTAGATTGACTTTGAGCTCAATATTGTATTAATTAAAAATTAATGTTCCTTTGGTTCTGTTTCTTCACTTTTCATTTCCTGCAAGTAGAAATAAAAGAACAGAGTTTCAATGTCCACCTAGTCGCACATTTTTAGCTCATCACTTGGCGTCCGTCATCGTCGTCGTTAACTTTTTACATTTTTAACTTCTTCTAGAGAACCACTGAATGGATTGGAAACAAAATATAGCATGAATGTTCCTTATGAGGTGCTGACCAAGTGTTGTTACTTTGTTGCCGATCCATCATCCAAGATGGCCACCAGCGGGGGGCTTAGTTTAACAAAGGACCCTACGGGAAATACATACAAATGTCTTCTTTTAGAGAACCACTGAATGGAATGAAAGCAAATATAGCAATATTAAACCAAATTTGGCCTCAAACATTATTATAAGTATCTGTTATGATTTTTATCTTTTTTTTATATGATTTCAAAAACCCAAGTAGAGTCATGTGAGCGACACAGGCTCTTGAGAGCCTCTAGTTTATCTATCAAGGGGCAATATTTGTTAATGTTTTTTTGTTCTCAAAAATATTTATAAATAAAAAATATGCTTGGGGGAAAAAAAAGTTCTTTTTCTTGTATACTAATTATTTCAAACTGACCTTCAAGGGCATTACTATAATAGTATACTATAAGTTTAATAAAAAAAATTGAGAGCATTTACAAGGCCATTTTCAATAAATTTAATATTTCCAAGAGGCATAACTCTTTTGAAAAAATTCAATCGGCCATCATTACAACTGCCAGTTGGACATCTACACCTTACAATAATTCCATACACCAAATATAGTAAGTATAACTTATTGCTTCTAATACCTGAGATATTGACCACGAAAACTTTCTGACAGAGTAGACAGACACTAGCTATAGGACCTTGCAAGGCACCCACATACTAAGTAAATAGAAATATTCTATTACCATGATTACTATAAATAATATTAATAAGAGAGAAATTAACATTACAAAAATACTTTAACCACAGACTGAACCTAAACTTTAGGACAGCGACACCGCCCCTGGCAGAGTCTTGGATCACTGTCTCGCTTTCTTGAAATAAATTTGCAAGCTTGACAAAAAGCAGAACATGTATTTCAGAAATAGAAATTCTATGCAATTATTAATACTTATATGCTGTTATGGTCCTACATATTCTTGTGTGTTCAATATTTTGGCATTACACAAAGTCATGCTTTCTTAGACTGTTTGAAATAACAAATGTTTTGTTGTTACATTAATTGATTAAATCTGTTGAATGTGAATTGATAGATATTTTAGTTTGGGAAAACATAATTTTTGCATCTTTTATTATTTTGTTATTTCTTTTTAAGTGCTTGTTGATGAGTCCAGCCCTTTCTGGCTGATTTTGACATTTGTTTCTTATGTTGGGTGCTGTCTGCCATACTGTGTGTAGTTTAATTTTTTCATTGGTTCACATTTTTTCATCCTTATACAAGTTATAGCAATAATAGGTTACTTTATGGTATGGATTTTGATCATTGTTTATGGCTGTACAGTGACCAGCAAATGTTAACATCTTCGTCCTTTGGTTTTTTAATTG